GTTACCTAATTTTTAAAGTGCAATCAGTAAAACTTTTATAACAAATTTATATCAGTAATGATTTCTTGGTCAAATTAACTATTTCCTGACCCTTTTTTATGTTTTATCTTCTGAGGATCAATTATTACACTTAAACATTAAACCTGCTTAAACTCTCACGTCTTTCTTTGATAATCTTTTTGTTTCTCTGACAGAAGTTTTAAATATTTTTATGAACTTGCTCTCAGAAAGTTGATCTGTTGTTATAATAGCCTCAGGAAACGCCCTCTGGAGCAGAGCGTCTGTTTACTTTGAGTCCCTCCTCTTCATGTCCCTTTGTCTCCTGGGGGCCGAACGGCTTCATATGGACTTTGTACAGCTGATTGGTTTGGTTTCCACCTGCAGCGCCTCAACCGTCTCTTAGCTACGCTGGTTGATGAAACTCGACGCCTTCCTGCTTCTCTTTTCAGTTCATCTTCATGAGACAAAGAGCCGTCATGCTGCAGGACGAATTCATCTGGTTTTACTGATCATTTATAAATCCATCATATCAGCTGATGAGGACAGAGGTTATGATCCACCACCACAAGTAAGTAAAGTTTATTTATTGATATAATTTAACATTTAAATAAAAGTGACTCAAAGCTGTGGAGTGTTTCATATTTCATGTTATTCCATGTTTCCTCGTCTCAGATTGTGAAACTAAACCCAGTTTCTCCTCCAGTTTCAGATTTTCTCTACAGACACACAGAGGACAAACGGCAGGATGTCTGGATTTAACTCCTCTGTGTTTTTAACGTTTGTTTTTGTGCTTTGGACGGTTCAGGTTAAACCAGGTGAGTTTGGAGGAGGAAGAAGCTTCTTCCTCTTTTGGAAATGTCAGAATGATTTGGACCTTTACGTTGTAAAACTTGGATCTACCCAGATCAGTGAATGTAGTTATATAGACATTAAATAATTTTTTTCCTGCAATATAAAAATAGTTATGCACCTTCAGAGTGAATTAAATGTTTGTGTTGATCAGGAACTGAAAAGTGACTCAAAGCCTCCCAAAGAGGAGAAACACAAACGCTGTGATGCAGCAGCTGCAGCAGATGCGTCACTGAATGAGATAAAAGAGCAGCTTCTTGTTGTTGGATCATAAAGAACATTTATTGGTCCAGTTCCCTCCTTTTGGTTTCTTCTTTCATTTTAGACCATAAATGAATCACCTTGTTCTTAAAACATTGAAAATCATTTAGTAGAGATGATCATAGAAGTTTTTTAGTTTTTAGAGCAAAGCATAGATCTTCACCTTGACCAGTGAAAGGGAAGTAGAGAAACCAGTTAACCAAACTGGTTCTGATGTGAAACCAGAGAACAAAACGTCACATAAAGTCTGGATTTTAACAATCAGCTGCATAAACACTGCTGGCTTTTAACTTCAACATCACAGCTGTTTAAAATTTGAATGTTTTTTGCTTATTCAAATATTCCCCCTCTGTCTGCACCAGTCTGCTAGAGGCTGTTTCAGTTTGTGATTCACTCAGCAGATTATTTTTAACTCTGCAGTTAAACTCTGTGAAGCCAGCAGACTCTGAGAACTGGGTAAAATTCAAATGTTTGTTGTTAAAAATGATCCAGTTTATTTTAATCCTCATGGCTTCAGCTTCCAATAAATTCTCAGAAATCAATTTTCTGGAATTACAACAAAAACAAGTTTATATTATCGAAAGATGGGCCTACAGGAAGCTTTACACCAGCCCTCAGTTCCTGCTCTGGGCTCCTTTTGTTTTTATCTATTACTGCATCAATGCAGCGTAGCACGGAGGAGACCAGTCCAGGTTTAAATATCTGCCTTCAGGTCTTCATCTTTTTGTAAGGTAAGTTTATTTATTTTCAGCAACAAGGCAATACAAGGTGCTTTACATGAATTAAAAGGAAATACAAAGAAAATAAACAAAGAAAAGAGCAAAAGAAGAAAAATAATTTAATGCTTATCTAGTATATAAACTAGGTTCAGGATTTGTAAATAGGTATAAAGTTTCCTCTGGTCTAATTCCTTTTCTGGGTTGGAGGAAGGTCCATTTTCCAGCCAGCTGTTGGTTCCATTAGCCGTGTGGGTCGGTACTGAGTCCAACTGCAAAATGAAGTCAGCATCTCCATAAAGCTGCAGCAGAAGGAAGCATGAATTTCTCTAGAATATTCTGGTAGATGATTCCTTTAACTGTGAAGTAACAACAGAGCAGAAGCTTCACTCAGTCTGCAAAACTCAAAAACAGACAAAAAAAATCCCCTGCAGACAGTTCTGAAATTTTTTAGATGAAATATTACTGTGAAGATAATTCAAAATAATTATTTTGTGTGTTTTGTTACCATCCACATGGGAAATTCAACCCAGCTAACGATCATCAGACCGACTGGTCTGGTCTGCTTCAGATAAATGAAGAGATCTGGACAATAAGATGAAAGAACTTCAAACCTGTTTCAGCTTTTTCTTAAAATAAAGTAGCAAATCAGATTATTTCTAGATGTTTTTACACAAAGTTTCATGAAAATCATTGTGTTCATTATTTGTAGAAATTCTTGGTTTCATTTTTGTTCATCTTTTATGTTTAGTTTTAGTTTGCTTTTCCACTTATCAGCATGTGTTTAATCGATTTAAGGTTTATTTCTTTGCATCTTAGGTTAATTACAAATCCATCAGATGCTTCAACCTGCAGTGAAAACTACTCACTAAAACCAAAAGGTTTATTTCAAAACATGACAGCAACATGTTGCTAACACCTGGAAACCATATAAAATATGGAGACAAGCTAAGCGATGCTGCATCTGTGTAATAAAAACACTAGTAAAGCATCTAAAATCTGCTTTTCTGTCCGCCTTGTCTATAAACACACACATTAATAAAAATAACATATAGATCAACAGGATGTGTGTAAATATCTCTACTGTGGTTTGACATCAGGTACCAAGACCATATTTAGAGACTTCCTGTCTGAAATGGTAAAACTTTGTTCATATGATCTATTTATTAAGATAAAAAGTTTCTGCAAAATACTATAATAACTGGAGCTCAACAATAATTATGTTTAATGCAGTAAATATATTTCCCGTTCATTTTAGTATGTTAATAGTAATAATAATTTTATTTATAAAGTGGTTTCAAATAAAGTGCTTAAAAATTACAAGGAGACATAAAAACTAAAATGAAACAATAGAGCGAAAAGCAATAAAACAAAAGGTATAAAAATAAAGTACATATGACAAATGTCAGGTGTTCAAGCTTTTTATTAAAAATCCAACGTAATAAAAGTACAAAATTGTAAAACAGTTGATTATTCTGTGGGATAATCTGAGATATTATTTTTTTAATATTCCTGCAGAAACTGAGATCTTCTGCATTTTCATGCAGCGCTGCAT